TTAGTTGGGCCTTCATTGCTCTTTCTATATCATTGCTGCGACATATCTTGAATTTTCACCAGACTTTTGTTCCAATTTTATAAGTATTTGAGCGAAAATGTTACCATTTTTTTCTTTATATGATTGATTTCTACCTAGTTAGTCAGAAAGGAACAAACTGAATTATCCAGGTTGAAATCAACAACGATTTTTCCAGACGACTTGCAACAGTACAAACGACATTTTTGACAACGCCGATATCATTTTTCGCGCCTGTGCCATTTTGAAACTAGTCACAGACATTAAGATTTATTTGATATGATTTCCTGTCAAATATCGGTGAGTGCAAACAGTTAACCCTCGATATAGTGACATTGTTTGATAAGTTATCTCACTTATATTTAAGTATTTCAATATCGTTTTTCTCCATTTTTCTTTATACATCTCCATTGTTATATGTCGCCCAATCCCTGTGTAATGACAACATGCCTAAAACAAATTGTCCAAAATGATGGCTATATCTGTTTAAGATTTAAGATAAATGCTCTGCTATATTTTTGACAGGAACGAAATTAAACCAAAAAGTGATACTGTGAATATCAATAATCTATGACGTAAAAGCGTAAATCAATAAATGGTTAGCAAAAGCTACGCTCCTTTCTGGTTTAGCCTTTTCATATTACAAAATAAGAATGTGTTTGACACAGGTAGCAGAGGAGTATGTTTCATTTAGAGATTATAACGGTTTTGTATCGTTTGGAAGGTTTTATACTGTTTTTTTCATAAAAACACTCAAATCGCTGATTGATTGTTACGGTAGAGGGATATTGCGCCCACGTGTGTGTGATTCGGTTTTCCGGGGTAGTGGTGCTGTGAAGGCCCGAAGTGTACCTGCCACAGACAACATCTGGTACGTATGCTTGTTGTTGACCGGACGTCTGCCCTATCCCTACACGCTCTCCTCTCCCCCACTACTACTGTACTGGGTTTGCGATGTGAGAGGATTATTAAGAGATGAATCGAAACAACTTCACTCTTCAACTTTTCATTTTATTCCCGGAACAGGAAGTCAAACAACAAAACATAGAAACAAGATACGGAGACGGAATACAATAATTCACAAAAACGGTTAATTCCAGATATTCTATTGATGGTTATAATATAATATATACCATGTATATAACACTACATAAATCAATTACAGACACTGAAATCTTCGTCTAAAACAACTGATGGGCCAACAAAAATGGTGATAGTTATTTCGGACTACTGTAATCTGTCATTGCATAGCTGCGGATCTAGCTTCATTCCCGTATCCCGGTTGAAACGGTACTGGTGGCGCAGAAAATGCATCAATAATAGTATGCCCTTCTTTCTCGCGTCCACAGAATTATATAACGTATCTTAAAAACTGCATGTGGTTTGCCATTGTTTTAAGAAGAAATAACGCAAACTAGCAATAGTCAGCATTTTAGTTTCGGTCAGGTACGTCTGGACCCCTCAGTCTACATGTACCCAAGATCTGTGTCTGTCGTTTTCTTTACATGTTCAACCGTTTCAACTGGTTGAACCGGATACGCGAAAGGGGTCTAGTAGACGGGTACTGCTTCGATCAGGCCTGCATCAAATGCATGGGAGGCGATCCATTATGGTCGCTCAAGTTGCTCATTAACAGTGATTTGTACAAACTTTTGACATCGGGATGGCCAACGACATATGTATATCATGGGTCACTTTCAGTGTTCACCATCAGATGAAGTCTTTGGCAATACGAATTACGTATACAATCTTCATGTATAGATTTGAAAAGTATTCCAATCATATTTGATCATATAGTCAGAGAAGATATTACAGAGAGAGAGAGAGAGGGAGAGAGAGAGAGAGAGAGAGGGGGGGGGGGGGGNGAGAAGAACCAGGTTCCCGCAGTAAATGTGCAGTTCGCAAATTATACGGAGCTATACTTCTAATTCTAATATACATTGGTAATAAGTAAGTCAGTAAGAAATTTAGGTGCCATGTTATTTACTATAGAATAAAACAAGGAAAGTTTCCGAGCATCTCTTCTTTTCGAAAGGGGTAACCATCCGGTTTCTTGATATAAGAAATCTTTTTTAGAGAATGTGGGCAGCCCTGTGACTATTCTTGCAGCTTCTAGATGGATTTTTTCTAGTAACAGGGCATTTGTTTCACCGCAGTTGTCCCATACTTCACATGCACATTCCAGTAGTGGTCGAACATAAGTAAGATATAGTTTTTCTAATGTATTTCTTTTTAAAATAAGTTTTAGTTTACGAAGGGTTGCTATATATTTGGTTACTTTACTGACAATATATTCAACATGAACATTCCATTTACAGTCGTTAGTAAGAATAACACCTAAGTGCTTATATTGGTTAGTTATTTGAATGAGGGTATTATTAAATGTAAATACAGGGATGAATGGAAGTTGCCGATTTGAGATGACTAGGGCCTCAGTTTTGGTAGGGTTGAAAGACATCAGCCATTCTTTGGACCAAACTTCAAGTTTTCTCAGATCAAATTTTGCATTGGATGAAATTGTGTTTAAGTCTTGGGACGAATAAGAAAAAGTGGTATTATCAGCAAAAAGTCTAGAGAGAGAGGAAAGATCACAGGAAATATCATTTATGTATATAAGGAAGAAAAGAGGACCAAGAACAGAACCTTGAGGAACACCAGCTTTTATGGCCTTAAAGGAAGAAAGAGAATCATTGATAAAAACCGCCTGTTGTCTGTTTGAAAGATAACTAGTTATCCACTGAAGAAGAGGGCCAGAAATGCCATAATTATTCAATTTATGTATTAGACCTCTGTGCCAGACGCGGTCAAAAGCTTTTGAAAAATCACAAAATATTGATAGAGAATGTTCGTAATTGTCTAAAGAGGTAACTATTGAATGATATAGCTCAATACGTTGATGTGTAGTGGAATGGTTAGGTAAAAATACTGACTGATATTTGTAAAAAAGGTAATTTTCAATGAAAAAGTTATATACATGTTTATAAACCAAACGCTCAAACAGTTTTCCTATACAGCTTATCAATGAAATCGGTCTGTAATTGGAGGTAATACTTGCATCATTCGCTTTATAGATAGGCATGACATTGGCGATTTCCAGTTATCAGGATATGTACAAGAAGACAGAGAATAATTAAAAATAATGGATAGCGGTACAGTAATCTCGCTAGATAATAATTTGAGCATTTTATGGCTAATACCGTCAGGACCTGATGCCTTATTTACATCTAGAATTTTTATAATATCTTCAACTTCACTGGGAATTATATTTATTTCTGATAAGATGGAGTCAGTCCTTCTCTCAAAAAAAGGCAATTCTTTGTCTGTATCAATTTCTGATAACGAACACACAGAACTAAACTAGTTATTTAATAGTTCACATTTTCTATCGTTGTCATAAATTATTTCATTTGTAGTACCGTCTAATAACGGGGATATTTCGGTGTTTTTTTTGGCTTTAAGAATATTTCGGAGAAGTTTCCAATAAATCTTAGGATTGTTGTTACTTTTATCAATTACTGTATTTATGCTTTCATAAAATATTTCTTTAGCTCTCCTAATCATATTATTTACTTTATTTCTCATGTATTTGTACTTATTTTTTGTTGCACTCACTGTTATTGTTAAACTTTTTTTTTTTAAGTCTATCTCTTTTCCTAATATTACTGTGTTCGTATCTACGTGCAGATTACATTTATCACAGAGATGTAACGCTGAAACTCGTTACAAACAACACCGCACAAGCTGAATGCTTGCGATAACAACACTACACGGACATCAACTCCAAAAACACACGAGGATGTCTTTCACTTCCTTTGATTTTCCACATTATAATGCGTTATACATTTCTCTAATCTCGATGATACAGATGCACATATTAGCAGAGCGTTAAGTCTCTGTGATAGTTGTAATCTGCACGTAGATACGATAATTAGAAAAGATATTTAAATAAATTAAAAACCTAAATCGAATTAGATTTCCTTCTTTCATTTTCGGAGAACAATGTTACCGATAGTTACTTGTATGTTTAACTGGTGACATTTATTTTTGGCCGAATGTTAAGCTTTGTATTTCTTTTGGAAAAATGTGTTAATGATGATGGTGGCAGACCTTGCACTAAATCATCTAAAGCTGTATATACCTGTTTGTGGCAATACAATCTTGGTACAAATAATACAACACAAACAGCACCACACATACAAACTAAATCCTGGTATTGTATTGTTTAATTGCTTTAAGCCTTGCGGCTCATAGGTATTGCCTTGGTAATAACTTGCAGATGTTTAATTAACATGTTGCTATATACTGGTCCTTATAGTAATACGAATTAGCATATCTGGGAATGTCAGTGTTACATACAAACATGATTAAATGATGTTTCCTGTCGCGTAGGTTTATAACACGCACGTGAAGTCAACATTGAATGACGTACGCAAATTAAGTGACTCTTTGATTAAATCGTACAACAACATAATGCGTTTTGATAGGTTATCGTAAACCTTTGAAATGTGTATTTGGTTTTACGCCGATGGAATGGCGTTAGTTTGAAAGCACCTGTTAAAGCCATTTTGCTGACAATTACCTCAATATCAACTCCTATTAATCAAAACCAATCGCCATTCCTGCATTGAAATAACGATAATTCGAAAACCATAATGACAGACTAGCACCGGTCCATCGTGAGACGGGACGCTCAGACAGAGATAGTTTTACCGCGCATTTCGTTTGTCGTCTGCCTGCAATTGAGAGAGTAAGGTCTGTGGGCTGGCTATTGATCAAACCCCATTGCTGCCTGTCGCAAATAACACACATGCTCAAGTATTCGCCATTACATTTATTTGAAATATATTTTCATGTCGAAAAGAATCCGTGATGATGTTTGATTGGTTGATAACAAACGGTGTATGACCACGCCCCTAACTCCGCCTCTTACCATTCCCCCTACTGGTTAATTAGCTAATCCACCCACAATAGTATGTCAGAATATAACGCCAGCACGGGAGATCCCCGACTATAGAACTTACTCCGGAACGTGAGTTTACGGACGGCGGCGCTAAACGGAAAATAGACAAAATTGACAATTGAATTTCATTACGAAAAAAGGAAATATTTGGAACAAAAATTTAAGAAACACCATGAATATAAAAGATGTTCCAACACTCTGCATCGTAGTAACGTGGACGATAGCACTTCTTTTACCTGTATACACAAACGGATTTCCTTACAATTATCCGGAAGACACGCCCGCTGCAGGTAAGCATGTTTTTGTGTGTATGTCATTTTTTAATGCAAACCAATCTGAACAAGGTGAATTCAATTTCCGTTTTAAAAATGCAAATCACTTTCTTTAAGCATTGACAAAATTTAATTACGGTCATTTGTTTATATTTGTGTGATTAACAAGTATCGGTTCTCTAAGCTATCCGCTTTTATGCCGGTATACTGTTTGCCTGTAGCCAAAGTAAAAAAGTAAAAGCACTAGTGATAACTTGGTTTTCAATTCACATTACGCAAATCACTTCAAGGGATTTTCACGCGAACAGGCGGATTTTGAGATGGTTTTCAATTTGTCCTAAATTCGCAGAAGTATGCGCCTCTTTTCATTCACCATCAAAGTACCAAACGTTGGTTTCTATCGCCGCTCATTTACTTAATACAACTTAAGAAATTACCTATCAAACAAAACGAGATCTCAAACAAAGTGACGTATAAAACACAATAACATGTAAAAAAGATAATGCGACTTCTAAGACAAAAAATAAATAAAACTAGAGAGCAAAAAGACATTTTATACAGAATGCCCTCAAAAAGCAAATACGACTTTGAAACCAAAACCAATTTCAAAAACAATACTACTTAAAAAAATCAACATAAGGAACATAATGCTCTAAAACAAGACGGCTTTTAAAACGAAACGACCTCTAAAATAAGGCGATATCTTAAAATAAACGACATAAGCGACCTTTATACCTAATACGACATCTCAAGCAAAACGATTACTAAATTATACTGTAAATACTTCTCAAGCATAACTACCCATCAAACGAAAAAACTGCTATTAAAGCAAAACAAATCCTCAAAACCAATGCTACAATGAAAGCAAAAAGACTTCTTAAACAAATCGATTTTCAAACGAAAACGCCCTTTAAAACAAAACGTCCATTAAAACAAAACGACCACTAAAACAAACGACCTCTAACACAAAGTGACCACTAAAACAAACGACCTCTTACAAAAAGCGACAACTCAAGCAAAACGGCATCTTAAAACCACTTCTGAAACAAAACGACCTCCCAAACGAACGTTAGGTCCTCTCAAGCAAAACCACCTTCTGAAAAGATATTTTTATTAGAAAAAGAACTATAAAAGAATTGTAAAGCAAAAACAAAAACATCTCTAACAAAATGCTCTCTGAAAACGACTGTTTAAACAAAGAAGTCCTCTCAAACAACACGACTTCTAAAACAAAACGTTGTGGGGGAAAATGACCTCTTAAACGAAACGTCCTCTGGATAACATGGGGTTGGACGTCTTTTCAACAGCCATGGTGATATATTTACATTTGCATGACATTGTCACTATATAGCCTCTTTGAAAGCTGTGTCGTTGATGGGACTTTAATTACCATGCATCACGAGACACAATTCTTAGCGTATTATATACAACACTGACCGGAACTACAATATCCAATATAAATAAACATGACGGCTGCTGAAATATCGCTGGGCATTGTGAGATTTGACAATGTCATTGTATATTTATGTGCAAAATAAAATAAAAAAACACTTTTATTACAACGAAAACAAGACCAAGGTCTGCAATATCGGTTGAAATCACCAATGCCGGCAATGGAAACAATTTTAACGCTCATGCAATTTATCAGAAATATCGTCTGTTACACTGCACAGATCAACAGGGGTTCGTTACAGATGTCTGAAATACACATATTATATAGACCTACTGACACATATGTTACAGACCTACTGATATGAGTCACAGCACACATAAACATTTCAGACATTTGTAACGAACCTGTGCTCCGTCGCAAGTTTCACGTGTCTCGCATCCACGGTTCCTCATTTTCTGACGACATGTCAAATAACGAGTCTTATAGAATCTACCGACTGTTGCCAGGTTCCCATACTCAATTGTATTGATACTGAATTGTGGAATAAATTTGAAGTGTTTGTTAAAATTTCAAAATTTCAAAGTACTACTTTGTTTGCCAATTAGCAAATATGAAATTGTGTGGACTGTCGATAAGGCGGGCATTTTTAATTTTAAATATAAATTATAAGTTAAAAAAGAACATAAGAGGCAGAGAAAACGTAAATATAAGTATTGAACTGTTTTTGTATGGTATTAATGATCTATTTGAATGACACAGCTTTGCAAGCAAACAACATAATGCGCGCTAGTTCAATGCTAAAATGGGGACAGGAACCAGCTATAAGCTGTACGGATATCGGTGTAGCTTGTCCTTACAATACAATCCTACGGGGACGGGGACAGCTAGAAGCTGTACGGATATCGGTGAAGCTTGTCAATACAATCCCACGGGGATCGGAACAGTCATAAGCTGTACGGATATCGGTGTAGCTTGTCCTTACAATACAATCCTACGGGGACAGGGACAGTTAGAAGCTGTACGGAGTTCAGTGTAGCTTGTCCTTACAATACAATCCTACGGGGACGGGGACAGCTAGAAGCTAAACGGATAACGGTGTATCTTGGCTCACAATACAATCCTACGGGGAAGGGAACAGCTAGAATCTGTACGGATTTCCGGGTATCTTGTCATTACAATATAATCCTACGGGGACGGGGATAGCTAGAAGCTAAACGGATAACGGTGTATCTTGTCCTCACAATACAATCCTTCGGGGATGGGGACAGCTAGAAGCTGTACGAAATTCAGTGTAGCTTGTCCTTACAATACAATCCTACGGGGACGGGGACCAGCTAGAAGCTGTACGGATATCGGTGTAGCTTGTCCTTACAATACAATCCTGGGTCAAATTTAAATTTAGCTAGTTAGTTTAAACATATTTTATTGTACAAATATACAAATGAATTGGACAACAAGTTATTACAACTTAATAAAGTCCTCTCCTCAATACATATGGTAAAAATAATGTATATGTTTTTTGGAAAAGAAAACGTGTAAACTGTGAAATTGATCCGCATTTGAATAAATTATAAATCATACACATTTCATGACATGCAGCCTGGTAGAGTAATTTCAAAATGAACAGAATCAATGTAACAAAGAAATCAGGCAAACTAATGAAATGCAATTTCACAAACACACATAACAACTTACACATAAATAAAAATAGCAAACATAATTATAACTACCCAACCCAATTGCTGGATTTGATGTAATGATGCACATGTCTAAAGACACTTATGTTATTTTCTACCGAAAGTTGATGAAACAATCAACATGCCAAGCATTCATATTTTGGAGCAGGATGTGTCTTTCGTTGTTAAAAAGTAAGCAATCACACAAAAAGTGAAAGGCATTTTCACAGGGATGGCCACAAAAATAAGCTGGACTATCAACAAGATTTACTCTATAAAGATCATATTTAAGTGGACTTCACTGATGTCTAAGTTTAGTGTGCAAAATGTTTCATTTACGTTCACAAAACACTTTACAAATATAAGTGTAAAACTGCCTTATGTTGTAATAAATTCGAACGTTTTTCTCTTGAATTTAATTCGATGCTGGTATTTCCGGTACATTAAAACAACGATATCAATCCTCCAAGCGCTGTTGATGCACTTACTTTAAAGCATTTTCGAATTTTAACAGTTTAACTCATTGATGAATTAGCACACGCACAAACAATGCTATAGGCAACAGTATACATTAAATTAAATTAGTGCAATTATAATTTAGCGCAATATTTAAAGCGCTAAAATAATAATACCGCTAAAATATGTACGTTTACAGTCGAGAAAAAATACTGAAATTAGTAGTGACACCAATAAGTTACGCGGTTCAATTACCGTAATTGTAAAGTGTCTTTATATACCGTGTAAAGTACTCGTAGAAACGCATGAAAATCTGTTCCATCAAAATATTAACTTGTCCCGTATACATATTTCACGCCAAAGATGACCGGACAATTCTTGACCGGATAAAGCTGACCCTAATGCCACATTATGGCCCGTGGGTAGGTGTAGTCTAGGGTCTGGGAAATAGACACGATGACATATGAATGTGTTGCTAACTAGGTATTATCCGTGTGAAATACACCACTTTCTCTTTACTAGGCGAGCAATTATCAGCCGGGAAATCGATCGGTTTGTATAATGCGTGTGATGATGACGTCACAATGGCTATATCTTCGGAAAATTGGCGGAGGTGGAAAAAAGGTTCATTGGCCTGAAAACCGTTTCTCTGACACATCCAACTGTTGAACCGGTGATAGGTCTTGTATTATATATCGGTTTTGGCGAGGGTCCTTTTCATCGTCAGACATGTGTCTTAGGGGGTATAAGGACGTAGAGGTATCATCGAAACCCCTAAATAATGGTGATAGCGTTACGACAATAACCGAGAAGAATGTATTACATGTCAGACATGCGCAATTATTAATCAGTTTAGTACAGTACAATATGTTAGATATGCATATAAGTCCCATAACCCATGTCTGACATGCACTGGTGTATGTACTTAATGAGGGACACTGGTGGTTCAGCATGTAATCGACAACCGTTGGCACTTCCGTAAACGAGAAAATACCTCGCTGGCTAATTTTTGTAAACAAAGATGGCTACCTCCATGTGAGAGCACGTGGAAATATAATATTTTGCGAAAGGTATTGATATTGTGTAAATTATCACCGTTTAAGAGTTTGAGATATACAGTAAAACTATTGACATTGTTTAGACGGCATTTGTAATCAGCTGACTGTTGATCATCATCACAAGTCGTCATGACTTTAAATTCTTCTTTAGATAGTAGCCTTATTATACATTCCTGAGAGTTTCATTTATTTTAAATCAAGTTTAAAACTGTGAATTTCCCATTTCGCAAATGACAAACACATTTCAGACTCCGCCATCATAACTATGGTTCACCGGCGACTTACTCATCTATCCTTACACCGAAAGACCTTTTTGGGACAAAATTTGTTTGCCTTCTACTTTCTCGATATTTTCTCTTTTACGGATTCCGATATGTTCAGCATGCTGAACGTGCGCAGACATAAACAGATAGTACTTTAAGCGAGAAATGCGTA